ATCGATTGCGATGTTTACCAGATGCTACGATCTTTCACAGACGTCTCCGCGACGTACCTGTGCTATCTGGGCTCATATGACTGTAAAGCGCGTTGGGTGTACAGCAATACAATGAAAGCGCTGTATAACAAAAAAAGCCTCAAAAATGCCTCATGCCAAAAAAAAAAGTACAGTACGGACGTTCCTCCATCTCATCCGTTCTGCTTTTTTTTGTCAATCCTTAAACTTTGCTGCATGCAAGTTAGGTTATGTGGCTGTTGGTCCTGTTAGCAGCACGTAAAACAAAACTTTTATTCAAATTCTGAATTGATTATAGCCTAGAAAGCCAGCAAAGAGCGCTTATCAATAGCGCTTTCAAATATCACTAAAAAGCTGTCACTCACTTCAATTTATCGCAATCTCGCGATGTTCCTTTATAATCAGTGAAGCTTTCTGAACTGCAAATAATATCTTATTTACATCGTGTCTACGTGTGGCATTTAGCACTGAGTGAATTCTGAATGCATGAGAGGTGGCAGCCCAATCTATTTATATCTTTATTCATATATTATTATATCTTATATTAATCATTTATACACACGAGCATTATCCGGCTCCGCTCCTCCCGACCGCAGACGCAGGTTTACAAACCACTTTTTCCTGCGTTTTTCAAACCAATTTCTTGACTTTTCCCCACTCATGAACAACACATTTTCGTACACGATAAAAGCTCCTTGTGGTCTCTCGGTTTGGCCAATTTGAGCATCCATAAACAACGCAAAACACAGGAATTTTGAGTTTCTGCTACTGATTCCTACGGAGAGAAATCACTTCCTGCCCCCAGCTGCATTTCGCACGTCATCAGTGACGTCATGTGCAAACAACCTATTCCTTTATCAAAGATTTACTATTTGGTCTTACAGTGTAGATTTTAAGTCCAATATATGAATGCTTGTTTTCTCGAGCTGTGACTGACATATTTACAACTCGTGAATTCTGTCTACAAGACAAAGATTCAGATATTTATGTGATAACTGTTGGCTGAAAAAAAAAATCATATATCCTGCTTACATTAGTAATGTATGAATTTGAGGTCATTGTCATTCCATCACTTACGGAATCAATATAAAATAAACTCCATATTTCCCACAGGCTCTCTCTTAGTTATGTAAATCAATTTTAATAGAAAAAGCCACACTGAACTTCAGATCTCTCTCTCTCTCTCTCTCTCTCTCTCTCTCTCTCTCTCTCTCTCTCTCTCTCTTCTATAACTCTCTGCTATTAATAAATCAGCTTTTAGACCAAAGCATGTATTATTAATTACTAGTTTTGAGTAATAGTACAAGAGGTTAATAATGGATTTCTGGGCATGATTAATGCATTGTTAATTAGCTGCTAATATGAGTATTTTCACTGCCTTAACAGATGCCTTACTGCTGATTAGTGTTGTAATCCTTTTAAGGTTGCCTCCTTTATGCCTTATAGTTTTACTCCTTGCTCCATGAGTAATGCCTTTTAACTGCTAATTTTACTGCAGACATGTCATTTCCCATAGTGAATGAGGGACAATATAATTGAACTCACAAGAGAAGAAAATATAAAAAAATAGCAGATAGTACTTTAAATCAGTTACATTGCAGCTTAAAATTACAACATGACAGCAAGCCGTGAATCACAGATAATCTCTTGAGAACGTATTGACTTTGTATTGTATTGGCTGCATAGGGAAAGACTACTGAAGATACTATTGGCTGTACAGAACAGACTTGTCTAAAACACCTCAGTGTGCAATCTTTATTTAAAAGGCAATTAATCAACAAATTAATATAAGCAGTTCATGTTTTTTTTCTATTTATTTACTTTTATAAGAGGAGGTTTCACCCTTCACTGATTATTTTTGTATGATCGCTGTGTTGTGAAGTTAATTAAACCTTTAAAATTTAAATAGGATTTTTCTCCACTGCTGTAGAAGTAATTCTTTATAATGAGACATTCAAATGCACTACAATTATATTTGAAAACAAAAAAAAAATGCAAACAGTCTATAGTAGGTTGATAGAAATGTTACCAAAGGAAACCTTGTTTTTGTTAAAAGAATAAAAAGAAAAGGCACATTTTCCAAATTCTGAGCACACCACTGGAACGTATGATAGAGATCTAGTACAGTAACTATTTGTATAAAAATTAGGAGATTTGAAATATAAGAAGGCAACTTACCTAAAAGTGCCTCTGCAATGAACATATACATATGCAATTTCATCTATGCAATACCAGCCTGAAGTGTCTGCATAATTAACAGTTTATATTAGTTTATTAGTTATATTATTCTTATAAAAAGAAAAAAAAAATATTGTACTAAGATAACACTAAGATGCACAAAACTTTACATTTTTGACATTTGTTTTATAAGAATACAACAAACTTTCAAAGACATTAATTGGAACATAAAAAAAAATTATTTAAATGTATGTTCAATAATTGCTTGATTATTCAAATAAATCACTGACTTAAAGAGCAACAAATAAAATAGCATTTTGTCTGCTCTGCTGTCGTGAAGACCAAGAGTCTCTGCTTTTCAGTTAAACTGTAAGCAGGAAAAAAGAAAGTTAAAAAAAGGTTATAAAAAGACTGGAAAAGCTTTGAACCTTCTTTGGACTACTAAGCATATTTTAATGAAAAAGAAAAATGTAATACAAGCCAGACATAGCTAAAATTAAGCCATGCTATCAAACTGAGTGGGATGGAGTGTTTTTTTTTTAATTATTGAGAATTAAATTTTTGTCTTTCGTTGTGTGAAAATGAAATTAAATATAAAATGCCCAAATGTATTTAGATTCATTTTAAGTAATTCAGAAGCTGTTCTTATCAGCTCTAAGCACTAAGGAAAGCAGTATTGATTTTTTTGGAAACAGTGGGGTGTGGTGGATTAAGAGAGGTTCAAAGAGCTGCATGCTTTTCATAGTTTCACACAGTAAATGAGTAATGCTCAAAAAATTCTCTTTCAACAGAGACTGATCATTTACCCCTAAAAGAAGCCACATGAAAAAAAAATCTATATTCATCTGTTTGCACCATTGGAAAGTCTGGCAATAAAGAAGCTGTGACAAACGTCTTCTTTGTGTCTACTGGTCGGTCTGTCTGAGACATACTGGCTCTCTTTGTTATCTTCTTACATTGATCTAAGACACAAAGGATGCCAAGCACTTGCATGGTGCACTGAATGCGCCTTCAGATTATGAAACGATGGTCCAATGAACTTGATAGATTCACTGAACTCTGTTTAACTGTAAGTTACTTTTGATAATACAGTTTTTCTGAATTGCTAAAACACTAAACCCCAATCTCTGAACCAAATTCTCACTAGCTTAAACCAATTTGTCGAATAAAGCACTCTTTCTGCTAAACCTTAAACACGTTCAGGCAGTTAGGCTCTATTTGCAATCCCATGCACTCTTTTTGCAAAACTCTAAACACATTCTCATTCACTTAAACCCTTATCACACTGTGATGCATCTGTGCTGCAAAATGCAAAACACAAGCGGCAAAAGTTAAACACAACTAAAGCACAGTTGTCGTCGTTTACACACAACGATTCAAAATTGTTCACACTTGTTGCTAATGATGTGATCAAACCAACTGTACAAAATATGAGCCAGTTCAGAGTGCACAAGTGGCACAGGTGACTGAATGATGATAC